AACTTTGGTATTCTTTACCTCAAATAAAATAAGCACTCTCACAAAGCATATGTATTAGCCCAATATTTTTCCATCCTCTGTTGACGCTGCCTTCTGGTCCTATTCAATAAGAGTCTTTAGAGGGTGGCATCTCATTTCAGTGCCCTCCTAAGTTTCTTTGGCTATTCCTATGTCAGCCATACTGGATGAAATGCCATGTAGCACAGTGCACCTCAAGATGCAAGTGAGTAGGAATCAGCCAGGGATATTGTTAAAAATTCAAGTTCTGATTTTGACTGAGCCACAGGTTCTACATTTTTGATGATCTGTAGGCCATGCTAGTACTGCAGCTCCACAGAGTACACTAAGAGCCCTCAGGCACAGGTGTCCAGTGTTTCACGTTGAACATCAGACACACTCATAGTGTCAGGTGCCCCTTAGAGCCTTCATGCACATCTAATCTTAGCTCCCTGCTCTTTTTATCTTTGCATTTCCCCCAGTTTCTCTATACTTGTACCACTTGCACCTTCTTCATTTGGCAGCCCAAGCACACCCCGTCACACTAGAAGAGCATCCTTCTAACCCCTGAATGGGCTTTTTTTTTTTTTTAAGACAATTCTAAGGCAGTACTTTTAAACTATAGTTTCCTAAACTTTCCTAAAATTGAACATTTGGGGATTTATTTTTCAAGGCGTCTTTTAGTCAAAAGAGATATTGATGATTCTCTTTATTAAAAGTTGAATTGAAACAACTTGGTATGTCTTTCCTGGGTTTGTATTTCTATATTTTACTCAAGAACTTTGTCTCAGAGCCTTCATATGAGTGTGCTGGGGTGCCCTATAATTCGATACTTAAGAGACTATGTTTCTAAGCTAATGAGATGTTTAACCCCCACTGGAAAGTAAGAAAACACTATCAAGAATGTCCAACTTTTTGACAATATAACACAGCATTGTCATCCAGGAAGTTTACACTTGCAAACCATGAATTGATTACATTTTTTTTAAATCATGGTTTGCAAGTTTACAATTTTGTGTTGTATTGCATAGTTATCCTCAATCGCATGTACACGCCGGCGACAGGCTGGACATGTCTGTGACTAAGCTGGTGCTTGCATCTGATCCAAAATGAGACTGAATGTGATAGGAAAGGAGATTTCAGGGTTGTGTGTCCCACTACCCATAGTTTGGTACAAGTGGGCCAGTACTCTGTTCTAACCAAAAAGTCTGATCTTTAGATTCACTTCTCAGTGAGATTTCCAAAGAGTTCAGCAGTTAAAATGGTATAAGAAATAAAGTGAGAGATAACGATGACTCATCTATTATCAGAAAATCTAGGTGGAGAGCTTAGTAATTGTCTGAAAGCTGGGTCATCCAAAAGCCCAACTAGTTTCAGGTTAGGAGCCCAACCTTGCATCATACTAAGGCTCAATGTTGCTTCTTGGAGAGCTTTTAAAACTTAGAATGTCAGAGAAATTTGTGTCCAGCTTCTGAGATGGAACCAGAAACCTAGAATTTTGAAAGCTCCTTATTGATACCAAGATACAGCCAGAGTTGAGTGTGGCCCACGGGTCTACTGTATCTCAATTCACTGGGGACTTAATATTGCAGCTTTAGCCCCTACTTCATTCTAAATCAGACCCTGTATTTAACAACGACCCCACTTAATTAATATGCACATTAAAGTTTTGGAAGATCATCTGACCTAGACTGTCCCACTTTCCAACATGTCACCTGTGGGGTGGGGGTGGAGGGCGCTCTCTGAGACCCACAGCCAGCAGAGTGACAAGGCAAGAAGGAAGCCCAGTTCACAGTTTAGTAGCCAGTGTTGATTCAAACTTAAGGAGTCTGACACTGGATGGGTTATTTTGGGTATATTTAAGTATAGTACATTTTGTAAAAAAGTTTCCTGTTGTAACATAATTCCATGTGTACAATAAAATTTAAGGCACAATTTCATCAAAACTCTTTTTGAAGTACATGTCACCTCTTCCATGAAGACAGGCTACATGTGACATCTTAGGGGAGGATGTGGTATGATCTTGGTCATGCAAATAGCACAAAGGTCACTAGGCTAGTAATCACCTCCAGTCCTGTTTATTAGGGTCTGTGGGCCCTACAGATAGCATGAAGGTTACCTAGACTGTTGACAGCCTTTGGGCAGAAAATAGGTTATACATTTCTTCCTGCGAGTTTAGTGCTCCTGCTTTTCCTAGTGCTTATGTTGAGCTCAAGGATAACTGTGCCCCAGTAGTCACCAACACCCTTGTGAATCTTTAGGAGACCAGGGAACTTTGTAGTTTAATTGTGTGAACATTTCTATCTGGTGACCAGCAGGAGTTGCTGTAGTTTGGGAAGAGCATTAAGCCTGGATTGGAATATCTTAACCATGTGACCCTATCTCTGAAATTAGGGACTGTTCTCGATTTCAGTTCCTTTACTTATAAAAGTACAATAAAAACTCTTCCTGTTCTTTGCAGTCTCATGATGATAATTTGTTGACTCACACAAACCAAAGGTTCTTTAAATTTTTTATTTTTATAATACAATATAATAAGGCAAAACAAAAACAAATATATTGGAGTTTGGCAGGACAGGACAGAAGGAAAAGAGCCCAAGAGAAGGCACAAGAATCAGAGGCCCATTTGTTCACACACTCAGGAGTCACATAAAAACTCTGAACTGGAAACCATAATATATATGCAGAGGACCTGATGCAGACCCCTGCAGGCCATTTGCATTCTGACTTAGTCTCTGCAAGTTCATATGCACTTAGATCATGTTGATTTAGAGGGTATTGCTTTCTTCGTGTCCTCCATCCCCTATGGTTCTTAGACTCTTTCAGTGTCCTCTTTTGTGGGATTCCTCGAGCCCTGAGGGAAGGGATTTGATAGAGACATCCTGTTTAGAGCTGAATGTTCCAGCCTCTCACTCTCCCCATAATGTCTGACTGTGGGTCTCTGTATTTGTTTCCATCTGCTGCAAGAGGAAGCTTCTCTTATGATGACTTGACAAGGCACTAATCTACAAGTACAGCAAAATATCATTAGGAGTCATTTCATTATTCCTTTTTTTTAGAAATGGTGGCACAAACTTTGTGTCACCGTTGGCCTAGCATATCTTGAAGGCAGGACACCATTGTAGATTAGAGGATTAATGGATAGCTTGGTTTTTTACTTCTTCTTCTTCTCCTCCTCCTCCTCCTTCTTCTTTGTAGCATGCAGAGTACCTTCTTGTACCAAAGATGCTAGAATGTAAGGGTGAAGGCTCTATGTAGGCATCAGCTGTACTTTTCCATGTTAAATGAGTTGTGTAGGTGTTCTCTTCAGCAATAGGGCCTTGCTGTCGCTTTGTGGAATGCAACCTGTATTATACAGTATATCGGCAACAACTTGGATTTGGGAATTCTGGCAGGGACCCTTTGGCCAGCAACTCAATATGGCTAGATGGAACCAAATACTAGTACTGCAAGCTTCACTTGGTGACCAGAGATGGCCAGCTGGGATTCTCTCCCCCTCATTATTTGGCAATTCCATTTAGATCACCTTCATACATGTATATAGTTTAGAAAGCATCTACTATATTAGGTTTCCATATGACCCCTCAAATGGTCCTTAATTTTAGCTGTATTTCCTTATTTCCTCCTTCCTTTTCCCCCTCCCATTTGAGATCTCTGTTCCAGGCTTACCACCATCCACCCATAACTATCTATTCTATGACCTTTTCCTAATGAGATATATCTGTACCCCCTAATCCCTTACTCTATACTTAACCTCTATGATTCTGTGGATTGTAGCTTGGTTATCATTGACTTAACAGCTAATAGCCACATATATGCAAATAAGTACCATTTTTTTTTTATATTTGTCTTTCTGGGTCTGAGTTACCTCATTCTAGTTCTATCCATTTGTCTGTAAATTTACGAGTTCATTTTTTAAATGGCTAAGTAATGCCCCATTGTGTAAATGTACTTCATTTTCTTTATCCATTCATCTATTGAGTAAAATCTACATTGTTTCCAATTTCTGGCATTATGAATAGAGCAGCAATGAACATGGTTGAGCAAATGTCTCTGGGGTAGGATGGAGAATCTTTTGAGCATATGCCTAAGAGTGGTATAGCTGGGTCTTGAGGTAGATCCATTTATATCCTATTACACGCATCCAGTTTGACTGGCACCATTTGTTAAAGATGCTCTTTTTCCAATGTGTGTTTCTGGATTCGCCATAAAAAAAATCAGGCTTCCATAGGTATGTGGATTTATATCTGTGTTTTTAATTCAATTCCATTGATAAACATGTCTGTTTTGTGCCAATGCCATGCTGTTTTTTTATTTTTATCACTATATTTCTATAGACCAACTTGAAATTGGAGATAATGACACCCCCATCAGTTCTTTTATTTTTCAGGATTGCCAAAGTTAGCTTTGTTTTTTGTTTTTTGTTTTTTTTTTTTTTTTTTGTTTTGTGTTTCTACAACATACTAATTAGCTCCAAAGAAGTGAGATCCTGGATCCTACAACACAAATATGATTGTGAGCCTGATCTAGTTCAGGACACTGGTAGTTGAATCTTTTCCAGCTTTGCTACCTACCCAATGTGACCTCTGATCTACCACCAGCAGCAGCATTGTGAAGGTATTGAAAATACAGGATTTCAGCTCTCTCGAGGCCATCTGACTCAGATCCTGCATTCAGGAAGAACTCTATATGGTTCCTGGAAAATAAACTCACATGAGAAATACAATACAACCAATGTCTAAAAGTAAATGTTTATTTAAAAGGAAACCCAGAATTATCTTTGCAAGTAAAATTCAACTAGAATTATACTCTGAATGGGAATAAAGCTATCCTCATGACATTAAGGCAACATTTCCAAGTGGGGACAGGACTATGTCTTGCAGATATCAGAGATCAAAGAGGAGGCTTCCAAGGGTTGAAAGTTTCCATAATCAATATTCTCCTGTGTATGTTGGCCCTGCCTTTCCTTACCTCTCCCACTGTGTTCACTCTCAGCTCAGGCAATGGCATCTTCAGATAGCTGCTCAGAGGTGAAAATTGACCCTAAGCCCTACAGAGACCATGCTGAATCCCATACAGAGCCAGAGGGTAAGAACCTACAGGTACCAGAGATGTAAGAGGAGGCTTCCAAGGGTTAAAAGTTTCCATAATCAATATTCTTCGGTGTATGCTGGTCTGCCTTCCCTTATCTTTCCCACTGTTCACTCTCAGCTCAGGCAATGGCATCTTCAGATAATTGTTCAGATGCGAAAAATTACCCTAAGTGCTACAGAGATCAGGCTGAATTCTGTACAGAGCCAAAAGGTAAGAAACCTATTTTAACCCATTCCTGGCCTCAAAACATGGTCTCCAATCACTGGGAACTGTTCTTAAAACTACCCACAGAAGCCATGTGTTCTCTGACCAACCTGTAAGACATCTGAGCTTCAGGAATTCCTCCAGGACATTAGGTAGACAAAGCCAGTGATGGAGATAGACATGTTACAGTTTAGGACCTCAGATGTATCATCAGCAAACACAGGATTTTTATTTTTTTACATTGTATTAAATTATTGGTCAGGAGGACAGATGCCATGGTCTCTCCTACCGCCAAACTCAGGGATCAAATTCAGGTCACCAAGCCTAGCAGCAAGTGCCTTTATGCACTTAGATACCTTGCTGGCCCAGTAGATCAAGTTTAGATACACATGTTTTAAAGCATCACTTTTCCAGTGGTTTGTTTGGCAATCTCCAAACTTTCTTCTTTAAAAACAAACAAACAAATGAACAAACACAAACAACAAACAAAATATCACTAAAGCATATTACCCTTTAGACAAGAGGAATCTGACTATGTCAATACATTATATATTTTTGTGATTTAAAATATTTTAAGATATTGATTTTTTAAAAAAATTCTATGTGTAAGGGTGTTTTGCCTACATATGTATCAGTGCGCCAAGTTTATGCAATGCATGTATAGGACAGAAGAGGGAGTGGAGTTACTGACAGTAATGAGTGTTCTTGTGGGTGCTGGGGATTGAACTCAAGTCCTATGGAAGAGAAACTAACACTCTCTCCAGCCCACAATTTATGCGATTCTTATCCAAATATTTTGAGAAAATATATCTGAGAATTCTTTCTATAAAATAATCTTACCTCACATTGTGAAACCGGAACCTCCTAACATTGACAGCTATAGAATCTCTTTTAAAACACATTTGCAAGCCTTCCGCATATGTGCTTATAATCAGGATTTAGAAACTGTAGACATTAGGAATGGAATCATTGCATAGTCCAATTAACTATACACTCCAAGCTAATGGAATTGACTTGCTAATCTTTTGTCTTTGATTCAACAGCAAAATGCCCTCTGCTGTCAGATCCCAGCTCTGTTGCTATGATTTCCAACCATTCAGGTAATCTTCAAGGGATTATGGAGTAACAAGTAGGGGTGGTTGGATGTTCAGCCTCCTCAACTAAGTAAGCAACTCTTTCTGATGACATCTGAGCAATGTGTGGTGTGGCACCTTTCCTTTGCGACTTCAACAATCTTAACTTTTCAAATAGAATAAACCCTGAAAATCCATACAAGACTTGGTGTCCAGGTGAAAGAACAGGTTTCAACAGAGAAGTACAAATCACATGGTAGGCTGAGCACACATCACAGGGTAGGCAAACAATGGACAGAAGACAATAGGGAGGATATTACAAATGAGGGGTGCCAGTTGAAGGCATCGTGCTCATGAGGCAAGGGATAGTCTGTGTGTATGATTGTATGCATATGATATATAATTATATAGTGCAATCGATGACCTATTATACTATCATTTGCTATTCTAAGGAGATTCAGTCTGTATTTGGCTCATTCTCTTCCCTTGATTAAAATCTGACCTCTGTCACTCATGGACAAGTCATCTACTCTAACAGAGATGGCAACATGAATAAGTCCTCTGTCTCACAGTAAATTCATATTCAGACAAATCCCTAGCCATAGTTGCAGCTAACCCTGCCCACATAGGAAGTCTTAATAAATGCAGGTATCTCCCTCTGGCAATCTCTCATTGTCAACTCCCTTCCTGACACAGAGTTACAGCTTCTGGCTGCCTCCTGCCCCACCCTCTTATCCCTGCCCTTCTATTGTCCTCACCATCAGCACAGCGGGCACCTGACACAACAGAGATCCATGGCATTATGGCTCGGCTGAGGGTACAGGCCCAGCAGGAAGAGGGTTCAGACAAGCAAAGTCTTAATACCATGGCTACCAACCCCATGGAAGGTGGCTACTTTGTTGAATCCCCACTTTATTGATCTGAAATATAATATTTGGGGAAATTTAGTAACTCGGCCTTGTGAATGATTGAAAAGAGATGATTGTTCCCGAGTCATCATGGTCTCAGTGCCCCCAAAAGTTCAAAGCTCCTGTATCAGTGAGTAGAGAGAGAGAAAAAAAAATAGATAAGTAAGCAAGTAAATAAACAAATAAATAACAAGAGGACTATATAGTGTCTAAGCTTGAAGCATAAAACAAAGACTTATAGCTGCCTCAGACTGGTTCACTATTTGTAACTTCTGTTACTGTTTTCCAGGTGCAAGCATTAAGCCACCTTCCCCAAACAAACATTTCATTCGCGATACAAACCAGCAGATTCTCGTCCTCGAAGGCAGCACCCTTGTGGCGGTTCCAGACAAGTATGGAAAACGTGGAGGTGACCCTCAAATTTTCTTTACCCAATGGCAGTGATAAGTGCTCCCCCACAGACCTTGGGTAGGTCCTGCCCCTCTCCAAGGGGAGTGCTTGGTTCCTCCTCCTCTTAAAAGGAGGAAGTGCTACTATCCCTTGAGCAGCTGGGTGTGAGTTTGGAACCAGCAATGAGAATGAAGGAAAGAGATGATAGAGGGAACTGCAGGCATCCTCCAATCAAATGAAGTCTCTGCAGACAGCAGAGTGATCAAAACCAGAGGTGGAGAGGGGAGATTCTGAGAACTAGAATGTGCTAGGCTCTAGAATCAATATGATTGTGAGGATTTATCAAGCTAACTATGCCTGAAACTTCAACAGGAAAAAGAAGAAAGGAAAGGGGAGCAGGACAAAGTTTTTATTCTAAAGATGACCCAGTTTTCTTTTCCCAGAGACCTTTTATGTGTCAACTTTACCCGTAAGAAAAGCCAGCAGCTCAAAGGCAAATAAGATTCTTTTGGCTGTATCTAAGGGAGAACGCTATCTCTGTTGCGATAGAGTCAAAAAACCGAAACGTCCCTCATTAGAATTAAAGGTAAGAGCTAAGGAAATCTCCCCTGTCCTTCAGCTCAGAGAAGTAGAAATTCTTAGTGCTAAGACCCACAACCTAAACTTTAGCCAAGACCATCCTCATCTTTGCTTCTTTCCTCGCAAAAGTAGCCTGGTGATATGTTAACCACTTCTCAGTCACAGAAACAAATACCCAAGACAATCACCTTCTAAAGAGAAAAAAGATTTTGGTTCACAGTCTTGGCTAATTAATCCTGTTTCTCTGGGGCCTGTGGTGGTATACTACAGTGGAAGTACATGGGGAGGAGGAGGTCCAGACTGCTCGATTAATGCCTAGGATGCAGAAGAGGGAAAAAGGGTTGAGGTCCCACAATCCCCTTTGAGGGCATAGTGACCAGTAACTAAGCACCTCATAATGTTCCCATCACCTCCCAATAGCCCCAAGGTGAGCACCAGGGCTTTGGGGGAATGTTCTAGATCTAAACTGTAGCAGCTACTAATAAATTCTCCTTTGTCTTTCAAAAAGAAAATTAAAGAACTGAAGTCACTGAGCCGAGATAAGCTCCTGTCCTTCACCTTCCTGAAGGAAAAGGCTGGTTCCTACTTCACACTGGAGTCAGCTGCTAATCGAGGGTACTTTATCTACACCAGCAGCACACCCAGGCAACCTGTAGGAGTGACAAAAGAGCTGGGGAAGCACAAAAATACCCACTTTGAATTTGTAAATGCAAATGTGGATTTCAATGAGATTAAAAACTGAAAGCACAACAGGACAGTGGCCAGACCAGCTATGATAGCAGGATTTGGCCTCAGCCTGACACCCATCAACAAATAGGAGTAACTTCTCTTTATAAATAGTACCTTCAATCAGCAAGCTTGGGGATTTGGTGTGTGTGTGATTTATTTCTTTAAAGTGTTTATAGTTAATTTGAAATTTGTAGGCTGAAATAACTTTATGGAGAAAAACAATCTCAAACCTTAAGGGGGTTTCCTATTTTCTAAAAACATTTCTGACCTCCTCTGGATGATTCTATATTCCATGACACAGCTAGCCTGTTGGTGTTCTTCTGTTATCTGCCATTCAGTATCTGTTAGAAAGACAGACCATACCTGTGTTATCTTAAGACTAAAATCCAACTATTTACCCAGTCTCCAGCTGTGCCTTTCCCTTATCAACTAGTGAACTGCAGTGATTACTATCCAGCTGAAAATATTGATGCTTACATTAGCTTAGTTACTCTTAGTAACTTAGAGTTTAAAAATGCCATGATTAACGACAAAATAAGAAAAAAAACCAGCATTTGAGGAAAACCAAGATTTAACATTTCAGTGAAAATAGATAATCAAAATAGATAATCTGCAGTGCCTTTAAACAATCCATTTTTTATTATTATAAATACTGTGTAATATTTAAATGGAAAATTCCAGAAATAAATAACTCATAAGTTTCTTCTACTGTGTACATTCCAAATAGAGTGATAAAATCTCACACCCCCCAACTTGGGAATTACTCATTTGCCATGTACATCAGCATTGTATATACGATCTGTTGCTTACTTACTAGCTGTCTCAATTGTTGGATCTATTCTCATGGAATCCCAGTGCTTGTGTTCAAATAGCCCTTACTGTATTTCATAATAGCCCCATAGTTCAAGAATTCTTAGTGATGCTGCCAATCTTAGGAACCAGATAACACAAAGAGAAACTATAAAATCCTTCCTTTGAGTGAAAAGGGGAATGTTTTCAATGTAATAGGAAAGGAGGGGAAATTAGATGCTAAAGTTGCTGAAATATACAAGTTGAAATGTGTCTACTGAAAAATTAAACGTTCTAACAGGCACACATGCATAGAAGAAGCCTAGTAGCATGTACAGGATTTGATACTATCTACAGCTATGGGTATCCACTATAGGCCTGAACATGTCTTCACAGATTAAGACAGTTTAACTGTTGATACTACCATATCTCCAGGCATTTACAGCCAGCCTTAAAACATGTTGTCAAAGAGAAGTTGAATTTAATTAACTGCTGATATTATCCACAGCTTCAGGTATTCAATTTAGGCCTTCCTTAGAACATGTCTACACAGAGATGGAGAGTATAACTGATGATATTATCCACAGCTTCAGGCATCCACCATAGGCCTTATACCCTGTTCTCAAAAGAGAAGAAAAACTTAACTATGGGAACTATCAAGTATCATAAAATGAATCATCCAGTCTTGGGCTTAAACCATATTCTTAGAGAAGGAGTATTTAACTGTTAATACTGTCCACAGCTGTAGACATCCATTGTAGATCTTAGACTATATCCTCACAGAAGACTGTTTAACTGTTGATACTATCAACTGTCCATTAATTCACTGTAAGCCTTATATTATATCCTCATAGACAAGGAGAGTTTTGCTTTTGATACTGTCCACAGCTTCACTCATCCCAAGTATATTTTATGCCATGTCCTCAGTGACAAGGAGTTTTAACCTGTCAGTACTAGCTATGTCTTAAGGAATCCATCATAGAGTTTAGCACATGACCTGAAAGTTAAGGAGAATTTAATTTGTGATAGTGTCTACAGATTAAAGCGTCCATCATAGGCCATAGATAAATTCCTCACAGAGAATGAGAGTTTAATTGTAGATAATTCATAGCTTCATGCCTATATTGTAGGACTAGGGCCTTGTCTTCAAGCAACTATCCAGACTTTCCTCCATGCACAATAGAGATGAAGAGTTTAACTCTTGATACCATCTACAGATTCAAGCATCTATCATAGGCCTTAGACCATCTCCTCGCAAAGAAGGAGAGTTGAACTCCTGACATTCCACAGGCCTTCCAGGATGCTTCAGGCATCCATCATAGGCCTTCCTTAGACCATTCTGTCATAGAGGAGAGTTTAACTGTTGATATTATGCAAATCTTGATGCATCCACCATAAGACTTAAACCATATTGTAAAAGAGAAGTTGAGTTAAACTGTTGATATGATCTATAGTTTCATGTATCTACTATAACCCTTAGGCCATGTCATTACAGAGAAGGAGAGTTTAATTGCTGACCATATCCACAGCTTGAGGAATCAACTATATGCCTTAGAACACATCCTCACAGAGAAAGAGGGTTTTACTGTTGAGGTTTCTCCTCAGATTTATGCATCCACTATGGGGCTTAAAGCATGTACTCACAGAGAAGGAGAGTTTAAATGTTGATACTACCCATAACTTCATGCATCAACTATGGGCCTTAGACCATGTCCTCACAGAGAAGGGGAGTTTAACTGTTTTGAATATTTTTTTACAACATCGAGTTAATTCACTCAAGAAACATTTTATTAATAGCCGCTTAGTACTTTTTTTTTTTTTTTTCAAATGGAAGGAGTCTACCAAGTGCATCGAGGGCAGTAAACAGCCTTACCATTTATTTTCCTTTTGCTGAGATAATCATCAAAAACATTTTGCAGTGAGGTCCTCCAGATGGTTTTGCCTGGGGTTTTGATTGAGTAGCCAGGCCTGACTTGGGGCACAGACTGTGAGCCTCTGCTTTAATAACAGCACATTACAGTATGCAGAGTCCTCAAAAATAAAACCACCATATGATCCATCAATCTCATTACTAGGAATGGGGCCATGGAAAGGCAATTGAGATGCCCAAGCAACAGCCTCACTCCCATGTTTATTGCAGCACTGTTCATAATAGCTAGGAAAGAAACCACATGTCCGCTAAAATGATGATGACTAGGTAAAGTGGTAGATATATACAATTAAATATTAGATGGCCAAAAGTAAGAAAGAATAAGAGAAAACAAAATCCTGTCATGTGTGACACCGTGGATGGAATCAGAAAACACTATGTTCAGTGAAACAGGACAGCCGTAGATAGATGCTGCTTGATCACATCTACACTGAAAACCTAAAAACATTGGCTTCTTAGAATATGAGGCAAGGATGCTGGTTGCTAAAGGTTTCCGAGAGAAGGACAAGGGGAGGGGGCGGGGAAGTGTTGGAGATGAACCAGAGGCCCTGCTCTGCATCTACACTCTGCAGCCATCTGCCTGGCAGTGTGTATTCCAGAAATCCACAAGAAAGCATTGAAATGTTTCACTACAAACAAATGTTAACATTTGAGGGGATAGACAAGTTTACCGCTTAGTACTTTTAAACCACATTGATTTAATCACATTCTAAACTAGTTCCTATGATGAAAAATAATATCATTGTATTTCAATCCATGCTTCATTCAGATTTCACTTATTTAATTCCTCAGTTGGCTAAACCATGTCATTGGTTATCATTTAAAAAATAACTATGCTAATTTTCTCATTACAAACTGAAGAAATAACACACAGATGTTTAAACTGACAAAATAGTGAGGTTAGGTGTTGACTTTTCAAATAAACAAGATGATATATGAAAGTAGGAGTATATATTTTATAATATATATGTTGGGAAACATTTGGGTTTTTATATTTTTATTTGTTATTTATTTTTGCAGTGCTGGGATTGAACCTAGAGACTTGTACATGCTGGACATGCTTTATCGCTGTGCACGAACTATTCTGTCTTGGTGCATGAACACTGTCTTGGTGACTGTCCAAGGCTTTCCTTGTTTTCACTTTGTAGCCTAGGCAGATCATGATCTTGTGATCTGGTATATATTAATCTCTTCCACTGTGGAAGGCATTTCTTTGTAGTTTCTGTTTACCATAGATAAGACAGATGCTTTCCAAGTAGAATATCAAATAATGGGTTTGTTTAAAGCTTAGATTACAAACTGCAGGCCAGATGCAGCCCAGAGCATCTTTCATCAAATTAGGGATACTTCATCCCTGATGTCACCTCACTATCATGGGCCTGAATCTGTCCCTTGATAGTACCATGCCTGGTGTCATCTTGCCATCACGGGTCTGAATCTGTCCCTCCATGGTAGCACTTCACTAGCACTTACTGATATTTTGAAATTACCCAGTACCTTCAACTCCTCAGCAGCCTAGGATGGTAGTTAGTATGTGGTCTGTGTGAAAGCTGCACTTGGTTTTGACTTAATTATCTTGCAAAAAATGCTTAGTACATCTTCAGCTTGTATTGGCTAATAGGTACCCTCAAATGCACTCAGTGCAAATGATAGAATCTGTTTTCTTCAATACTTAACTCTTTGATGTCAAGGAGGAATGTGTAGGCTGCAAGAGAAAATACCACTACAGGGTCTTTTTGTTTTGTTTTGTTTTTGTTTCTTGAGACAGGGTTTCTCTGTCTTGTTTTGGAGCCTGTCCTAGAACTCACTCTGTTTACCAGGCTGGCCTTTAACTCACAAAGACCTTTGTGCCTCTACCTCCTGAGTGCTGGGATTAAAGATGGGCACCACCAACACCGGGCCACTACAGGGTCTTATATGTGCCCTATATGTATTTTATTCATGCAATAAATAGTCTTCAGGTAGAGTGCCCAGGGCTGACAAGGCAGGTTGTGCTGTTACCTATTCAGTTCATCTCTGTACTTCCAAATGAGAGTCCATCTTTCATGATGCCAAGTCAGGACTGAAGCCAAAGTTAAGACAAATACTTCAGTGTGGGGACTTAGATAGATGGGAAAACTGGTAGCATAGTATTAATAGTTTGGGATTGATGGGCCAAGACAATATGCAAGGGGTTAAAAAACTGTGGAGATATGTGATGTTTTCCATTGAAAATCTACATATAATTCAGCATGTTCTGGAATACTGTAAGTTGAATTTGAAGCATACCTCACAGACTTGTTTTGAATACATATTCCCCCTGGGGGTGGTGCTCTTTTGGAAATCAATACAATCTGCAGGAATTGGGACTTAACTGGCTTGAGTTACTTACCAACAGTATAGATTCAACAAACTGCCACTTTGGGATC